AACTTCAGTATTGTTGAAATGCATATTGGAGTGGACACCTGTATTGAAACACTGGGAGATGATTTCACAGGCTGGACTAGTAGCAGAAACATAAGAAATGAGAGAGAAAATATGTTCATGGCTGCCTTGGTTTATAAAATCCCAGCACATGCCCCGCCCCCACTCCCACCCGACATGCTGGCATTTTTAACTCGCTAGTCAGGACGAATGCAAACGTGAATGGTCAGGAAAACTTAACAAGTGTCCATGATTTCTTAACTACGATTGTTTATATGCTAAGTGTCTCTATACCATAATCTTATAGCAATGAACATCATTATACTAATCAATCAATATACTAATCTTATAAATGCTTTGAATGAATGAGAATGGACAAAAAGAACATGCAATTCTTTTTTTTATTCTGAGAAAAATCTAAATATTGGTTTTAAAAAGTACGGTTAAAGAAAACATGTTGTTCTAACAGGAAACACATGGAACATAGCTAGGGAGTAAATCGGAACAGCCAAACTTCAATAACCGGTCCGGTATATAATGACTACGTACAATTTAAAGTGAAGGGATGTATTGCCGTGATAGTAGGTAATTTTCCTGTTTAACTCATAAACTATACGTGTATGGTTTGTTTTGTTTTGAACATATTTTATTGACATAAGCAAATGGATCGGAAACAAGTTCTTACAACTTACTGGTTCCTCTCCTTAAATTTAACAATTGTGTATGGTTTGATAAGTCATATATATTCTAAACGTTTAAATTATATCATCATATAAACCAGACTTTTTTAATACCTGAAATGAAGCAGATTTACATGCAGTTATAATGAAGGATACCTGATAGTTTCCCCATACATTGAAACAAGACAATAAGGAGGCTTTAACACCGTACAGTAACACAGCTAGAAGTCTTATTTTTTTTCCGTTTGAACCTTCAATTTTTGGATAATATAAAGCCCAAGTGACTACATTTGCACAAGATCACTGGGGGAAATAAAGATAAAATGATTTAAAGTAACTTCGAATTTAGTGCGTTTTGATAGTATAGAGATGAAATTTGGATTAGATGAGATTCGTACTGGAATTTATTCGAATATCCTTTATTTCGTTTTGTTATTTTTACTGTTAAATGCTCTGATAATAGAATTTATATTTTTTTTCCTATTGGTTGTACTAAACTTAGCGTCAAACCACAAAAAATACTAGATCCTCATAACAATATTTACAAAGAGGTTTAATAGAGTACTAACATACAATGGAGTACGAACACGTAATATAGAAACCCTAAGCACCTACCCCTTAGACCTATTTTTTTCTGTTTGGAATTTTACCATTCCTATTTTGGAGGATGACCGAGTATATTAATTTAAGGAAATATATCTATATCCAGTCAAGGTGAGGTTATGCATTTACATTAAGTTCTTTTAGCGTAATAAAAAAAACAAATATTATGTTATAATTATTTTTTTTCTCGGACCGTTAGCAATACATGTACCTGTACCAAGGAGAGCCGAGAGTTTTCCCCACATCTAAAGCATCAATAACTCGTATATTTTAACCAAATTTCAACTCAAATATAGCATATCACTACATGAATTGCTAATGCATTGTCTACATGTACCCTATTTATACTATGCATCTTTCCCCCATTTGAAGGGGAATTCCTGGATTAGAACCTTTAACATTTTCTTAAAATCCTAAAATAGATGGGCGAACAAGGCATGAAAAATGCTTTTAGCTTCAAAAGTATAAAAATCATATTCAATTCATGAATTTAGTACGATTGAACTTCGGTATCTCGAACACCAATATCTCGAATACCATGGATATGTCAAAGTGATTTGGAAGTCCCAACCACATAAACCTTTAGTATGTTACCCTTGATATCTCGAGGTTTTTTTTCGGTCCGATAGAGTATGAGATAACGAGGTTTGACTGTATTTAAACTAAAGCTCTTGTTATTGAAAGTATGAAATTATAACAAACAAACCTTTTCTGTGGAAAATTCTTGCGGCAAAAATCATTTTACGATTAAAACAATTGTGGTATTCTTAGGATTCGAACCCAATTGCAAGCAATAAAAACCCTGAGTATCATATTTTTTCTTTGAGATTAACATGCTAGCGCTATATCGCTTATAACAAATAGCGGCATTTAAGGACAGATGATAAGACGAGTGTTAAAAAGTTGTGTAGATTTATAATGATGATTGCAGAAAAGTACTAGTATAATTTTAAACATCTGAAATAGAAAGTTTTCAATTCTTAATATTTTAGAAATTTTATATTTTCATTATTTTCAACCAAAATAGGTCCAAATTTAGACATCAGTCCATTCATCCTTTTTTTGTATCATCTATCCTTAAGTCATATTTGTGACATATGTCTCTGAAAGATACGCATGTAGTATTTCGAAGGTATAGTTGATCTTTGCTTCATGTTTCTTTTAACCGAAAAATGTGTATTTTTACTCATACTTAGAATAGAAAGTTTAGAAAAAAAAAATGGAGATCTAATCAAATGGGGAAAATGTGTAATAGTATGAAGAAAATATCATTTTTGCCCTCTTTAGTGTGTGTGTGCTATTTCATATACAAATAATGTTAATCATTGGGAAACTGTTGCATATGACGGAGATTCTACATAAAGTGTACATAAATGTTAAATGAAATAACAAAACAATTGTTTTATAAACTTTTAAATGAAATTCAATTCTTCACAAATTTATGTTATAATTGAGATTCAAATTTTCACTTATTAGTCGCATCATAGGCGTTTTGCACGTCTTGCATGTTCGCCCATCTCCTTTCCCAGTTTTCCAGGTTGTTTTACAACTCGTACACATTTCCACTTAAAGATGTTCTCCTAAATTTGCGAATCATAAATCATTTAAAGAAATCTTTATTTTACCAGTTATAAAGTTTTATGGGCAAGTGAAATAATAAATTTTTATGAGTACATGACAATTCACAATCAGTTTCGCGTTTACAAAACCGGTATGGTTTTCTAAACCGTACCTGTACGGTGTCACAAAATTAATAAATTTCAAATAAGATTCTAGACTTAATTTTATATAAGACATTTATAATGCTAAAAGTTTTAAAGAAAATGGTTTATGGAAAACTAAATAAATATCAAGGGAAAATCTATAAATGGAAGAAAAAATAATTATATATCAGCTTATGCATGCGATCTTGGAAAAAAAATCGGGATGGAGGAAGGATAAATGAAGAGAAAAAATATCATGAAGAGAGAGAGAGAAAGAACTTTTAAAGACTGCAGCTAAAAAAATGCGTGCAGTATTAGTAAAATCCTAAAAAAAAATAGTGCGTGCAAATGCAAACTTGAAGCCATGAAGAAGTTTGCAAAAATTGTCTACATAATTAAGATTCTGATATGTTCCCAGGTTATTTTTGTTACAATGAGCTCCTGGAAATCTGTCTTGTTTTTTCTAAAATCGACCAAAGACAGCTTACATTTACAACAAAGGATGGACGCATTACAATTTTTTTTTTGGTATCCATAGACGTAGTTACGGGAGGATAGAAGGTGTGCAAGAGTATTCTCGTACCTTTTTTTTTTTTTTTTTATAGTAAATACATCCTGAAATGTAGGAAATTTGCATAAAATGGCTTTTTAGCTTGGCTTTGCTTGTCAGAGGTCTTTGCCACTAAGCTGGAAGATACTATTGTCAACTATCTGCCCCCCTTCCCCCGCCACTTTTTGGTCAAAGTTGTGATCTTTAGGATTGTTAAAAACCTTTTAACCATATATATATCTGGTTGAAAAATTTCGCTTTACCGCCAAACCGGAATGTGGGAGACCCATCTTCTTGGTTGACTCCCCTCTTTCAAGTTTGTGGCAACCCGCTGTTAACGACACACATGTCAATGTAGTCAAGTTTATTCAGAATATAACTTTGGGTAATACAGCCCATCAGTTCACAAAAAAGCACATAAAAAAAACATATATTACAAAAATTAAGACTCTAAATGAGCCTAAATTGGGGGGTGAAACCCCTGGTCAAGGGTTCCTGTGTAATACCGCTTCGACAAATAAGTGAAACTTGTTAGACGACTATGCTTTCATGTGGGGTGAAATCTTTCTTTAAATGATATTAAGTACCTGAATGAATTTCTGTAAGGGGTGTTGTCCTCTTATACTTAAACATTAAAGCTTCGGTTTACGACTAGATCTTACAGGTTTGCCAAACTGCATATTTACTCTTTGTCTCGATGAGATCAGAGTTTTTTGGGGTTTTTTTTTTCTTTTCAATTTATATAATCATACTAATATTTATTAGCTACGGTGGCAAAGTACATCTATCTGCCAGTTTTTGGGGGTTTTTTTAACGAAATATACGCTGTTACGCACCATATCACCCGATTACAGAGTACTGTTGGTGACCTCCTTAAAATGTAGAAAAGATTATATCTTTATTGTTTTGACACGGTCTGATGAAATTGAAAGTATTTATACGCATACAAATATATTTACATTTAAAAGTGCATAGAGATCTTAAATCCAGTTGCCGTTTAAATTCTTTAAATAGATATACTAGTAATAGATTTCTCCTTTCAGAGTAAAAATGGCGCGTGCATACTTTGTAATTCCTCCTTATTAATTCACGATGACCCTCCTATAGCTATGTCCCGAGAATTAAATGTTACAATGGATTTATAAACATGTAAACATTAAGGGGAAAGGGGGGGGGTTAGCCAAGTAAAATGTTTTTGTTGGACAGAAATATTGTACAGTTAAAGCACTTACTAGCATGTAAAAAAAAAAATGACATTATTACAGCCTCTTCATACGCCTTACTTCTATACCATCATTTTCTAGAGCCCAAAGGGATTATTCCAATTCAGAATAAAAAAAATTGTTAAAAATGGAAATACAAGCACACCTCGAACACAAGTTGAAACATGCGAGAAAGATCTAAATATTCGTAAATTTGCATCAAGTGACTTGACTACATGTATTTTTTTTTTCTTTCAGATTTAGAATGAGGAGGCATTGGCGATCAAACACAATATGCCTTGTCTTGGCTTTTATTGGTTTAATCACATGGATTTTCACTAGCCACGTTTTCAATTCGAACGTTTCAAAGAAGTCTGTTGTTGAATTTGAAGTGCCAAGAAAAGTGGCCAAACAGTTTTTGTTACATCCGCAAGGAGGGGTGGATAATGTAGAAAACAAGGACAAACGCTACTCACAGGTTAAACAAGATGAAGTAGTTTACGAAATTCTTAAAAAAGAGGGAGGATTTTTCCTCGATATTGGTGCTCACGATGGAGAGTTTTTGTCGAACACTCTTTGGTTGGAGAGACGACATGACTGGACAGGACTTCTGATAGAGGCTAATCCTGAACTCTGTGAAAAAATAGATAAATTAAAACGAAACGCGTGGAGACTGTGTGCCTGTTTATCAAAAACTCAGAAAAGTGTTTCATTCATCAAAGGAGGTGGTGTAGGTGGTATCGTAAGCCACATCGATGAGCACCACATGAAAATGCTAGACCAGAAAAACAAAATAACAGTACCTTGCTTCAGTTTGGAGCAGATTTTGGATGCTATTGGAATCCATCATATTGATTTTTATTCACTAGATGTTGAAGGAGCAGAAATGGCTGTTCTAGAATCCTTGAAGACTGGGCTAAAGTCTGGTGCCTTTACAGTGGACGTTTGGTCCATTGAATATAGAGTATGGGATGGTCAAAAGATAGTAGTTGAGGAATCTGTGAAGAATTTGATGGCCTTAAGAAACTACTTTAAAGACATTGGAGGATATTTTGAACATTCACAGTTATCAACGGATGAAAATAATAAGGATGGGTATGCTTTGGATGTAGTATTTGTTCGCACAGCAACGTGGTGTAAAACCCGAGAAAGTTTTCCAAACGGGACAAGCTGTCCAGGAAAGGAGAAAGTGTATCACATAAACGACTATCTCATGGCCCCACACCCTTACAAAATAGTAGAGAATGTAGACAAAATGTACTCTCAGGCTCAACAAGACAAACTTGTGTATGACATTGTTAAAAAAGATGGAGGATTTTTCGTTGACATTGGTGCGCACGATGGACAGTTCTTATCCAATACGCTGTGGCTGGAGAGAAAACACAGCTGGACGGGTCTTCTTATTGAAGCTAATCCGGATCTCTGTCGACGTATAGATCAGCTGAAGCGCCATGCCTGGAGAATGTGCGCGTGTCTGTCTAACACACAGAAGACGGTGTCCTTTATTAAAGGTGACGGGGTAGGTGGTGTGGAGGAGCACATTGACCAACATCATATCAAAATGTTGAACAAACAAAATAAAATTACTGTCCCCTGTTTTAGCCTGGAAGATGCGTTGAATACAATTAAAGTCAACCATATTGATTTTTATTCACTAGACGTTGAAGGCGCAGAAATGGCGATTCTGGAGTCTTTAAAAGAAGGACTAAAATCAAAGCGTTTTACTGTTGATGTTTGGGCGATTGAGTATAGAGTGTGGGACGGACAAAAAGTTGTTGTGGACAAAGCTTTAGAAAATTTGAATGCATTAAGAAAATATTTCCAAAATATTGGTGGTTACAGTGAACATTCTCAGCTCTCTAACGATGGGAATTTTAAAGATGGATATGCGTTAGATGTTGTCTTTGTACGTAACGAAATGTGGTGCAAGTCCCATGAAAAATTACCAGACGGTAGTCCATGTGCAAAATAAGGCCACTGACTGTTGAGGATACATGTAGTAAACTCAGAATCTCAAATACATTAAAGTTGATATTTAATATTTTTATAAGCATTAAAAAAAAATATGGACGACTTGCTGAATGTTTGGCAAAAGTGATATAAGTTTTATTTCATGAGATTTTCCCATACATTCAGTCATTCTACGATAAAAGGACCATTTCGGGGTATATAACATAACATAATATATATAATATATGATAAATAATATAAAATGTCCCAAATGGCCACTTGAACAAAATAAATCTCTAAAAGACAATTTTAGACATACCTATGCACTTATAAAAAATAGCCACAAATCTTAAATCGTTATCTTTTTACACTAATTTCGATATACCCACGGTCATAAGGCAATGTTACGGAAGTTAATGCTTAAACAGGACTCGTTATTTTTTTTAACAAACCTGAATTTGAGCTATTTTTCGATTTTTCGGATGTTGAGTATAGAAGGAAATAACATTTTTTTAGTCTTGCACAAACCTGGTATCAAGTAAAACTTCGGGGAAAGTATCACGAAAGTTAATCTTTACAGAAGTTAATTTTCAACAATAAAAGTTGAAGTTCTCTGAAATATATAATTTAGGTTTTATTTAAGATCGTAATCAAATGTGTTCAGTTTTTCGCTCCCAAAATAATAAAACCGTTTTATACATAAATGCAAAAACATTCCTGAATTAAAATCGATTATATTAGGTTCCAAGTCACTTTCAGGTAAGTTCCAGTTCATCAGTAGTGGTCCTTTTCACACAAAAAATCGACTAATATAAAAATTTGACTGTTTTTTTTTTTTTTTTTATAAATATTTTTTTTTCTGTACAGGATTATACACAACATATTTTTACGCAATAAAGACGTCTTTTTACATACTACATGTATATCTAAGATATTTATTGGAGAAATGAAAATTTTAGTCCTAGTCGTTAAGATATTTTGTGAAAATGTCCATAGATCAACAAGGTTTGTGTGCAATTTAAAACAAAAACGTTAGGAAATCAATTAGTTATGATTTTATATGAAACAAGATCTATGCATTTCTTTGCGAGATTGATTTCTTTTTTTTTATAGGGGAAAAACACTTCTTTAATATTCCATTCAATTCCTTCGGCACACCAATACAATTGAAAATTTCGTCTTGAAATGTGTAAATGAGTGAAGAGACATTAAGATTTGAGATGGAACAAGTTTTTAAACACTATATATTATGTTCAAGAGCTTAAACAATATATATAATTCACAAAACTTTATATGCATGTTAAGTCTCATCGTCTCAAGCCACGGTCCGGAGTCCGCATGGGAGAGAATCGTACATTTTGGCCGTGGTTTGCGACGATGGTTAAGTCTTAGAATTATAAATATGATATTACAGCGATAAATTTTTAAACGACACAAAAATGTTAATTGATCACAATTTTGTAGAATGACTGGTTACCATGGATATTTTATGCATAATACCAATAACGCTTGTGGTCTTTTAAAGAGTATATAGCATGTATTTTGAGACATATTGAATGATACGGCTATATGCTTGTTTGAAAGAATAATTAACTTTTTAAATACTAAGTATTTGTTAGATTGAATTAATTCATCAATAAAAGTGAAAATACTACAGCCGAAACTATCTCTTTTTTTTCATTCCAATCTCCAGAAAATATAAAAAAAAAAAAAAATTATAAAACAAAAAAAAATTGCAGCAGTGATTTTTAGATTCTTAACATTTAACGAAATTTTGGAGACTTGGATTTCTATAGAGTTTTAAAAGTAATGCGATTCAAAGTTCAACTTGACTTGTGTTTGTTCGTGTCCAGTGGCAATTTCATCTTTAAGGATGTTGTGGTTTTACATCCTGTCCATTGACAATTGTTTGACACAACCACAAACAGGAAAATTAAGTCTATATGAAAGCGCCTTATACCGGTATTTCAAATTTAGGAATCAGTTCAGTCATTATGTATATAAAAAAAAAAAAGATGGACATAACTAACGTAGTGAAATATAGCAATCATTATTTGCAGCATAAAAGGGTTAAGATTGTCCCAGGTAACAAATTTTCTGGTACGTCACAAAATGTAAAATTGTTATAATGTGAGAGAGAGAGAGAGAGAGAGAGAGAGAGAGATAAGACTTTCTTCCGATTTATTTATGAAATATTTTACAATGTTTATTGATGCATTGATAATTGTCCATCTGATTTGTTGTGAAATTTTACCAGCTGTCATTTACAATTGATTCAAATTTTGTACCAGTATAAAGACATAGATGTTACTAGAGAGAAGAAAGAAAGCAATATTAACTACAATGTTTCAAATACATAAAGACAATGTCCCTGATGACTTAAAACAGATTTTCCCCAAATACTCGAGGGAATATTTCATCATAACATATTCATAATACAGCTAAAAAACTACACAATTTCAAAATGTAGACTTGAAATCTTTAAAAAAAAATCCTACTAACTGGAATTTTCTCAATCTAAGAGTAAGAGAATTAAAGTTCATCAATCAATTAAAAATAAATATCTATACCTTCTTCTAAACCACCTTCTTATTTTTTTTCATATGGAAATGTAATTCACACTAAATAAAGACATAATTATATTCAAAATAACGACCTATATCGGAGAAAATATAATATCTTCTCCCTAAATGTACTTGTGACCAAACTGAAGACATACATCTTTTTTTTTCTTTGCATGCAAAAATTATGAACGCTCAAGAAATGACTTAATAAACAATATTCAAATTCAAATTTTCTGCTGTGTTAAAAAAATTATTTGAGAATCAGATACATGTGGATTTTAATTCAAAACATGTGTCTTTGATTTCAATATGTACATACAGAATGAAAGCTTAAAAATCCTTAACAAACATGTGTAATTCTCTTGTTCAACAAACATTGTAATCAGTATATGTGTAACATTAGAGCTCTAGTAGATTGCTCAGAGCATTTGTCTCTATAATTCTTACATATATTACATTACACGTACATGTATAACGTAATTGTAAATAATTTCAATTTATTTGTTATGACAATCATATAGTTTTCATTGTGCTTGTATAACAAGGAAAGGATCCGTTCTATTAAGTTGAAAGAACTTATATCCAATCCTTTTGTATATATTATACAATAAAATATGTTCAAACAAAAAAATATATATATGTTGCAAGAAGACAAAGAACATCTTCGTGTAAAGGGAACTTAATTTCATGGGATATGTAAGGCATTAATTAGTATCTTGTATGAGGTATATGGAGTCTGTACAATGTATCTAGTGGAGCAGTCTGCAGTCATAACAACAATTTCATAGAGCTTAAAACGTAACTGTTCTTTCAGTTTGAAAATTCCAAAAAAAGGTGGGGTGAAATGATTTCACAATTTATGGAGATTTTTTTTCTACAAACCCAATAAAATTATGGGTTTTTCTCGTTAATTTCATTTTCACAAGAAATGCAAATTAAGAACTCTTAACTTTAATTCTACAATCGTAGCCCACAAGCGCATTTGGGACGTTTTGACTTTCAGACAAGTTGATTTAAAACAACTCTGTACCGCTAAATATTTCACCAGAGAACATCCATGTCTATTTCAATGTTGAAATCCTTGAAACACAATATTTGACCAGACGATTTTAAGTCGATTTCAAGCAGAGATAAAGATATATCTGATGTTACCCAGACGTGTCGATTTTTTGACGTCTTGATCTTGTTCACCTGGCAAATCAATCAGGCGTAACAACCATTCATTTGAATAATTTAGAGAAATTGTTACGGTCAATGAAAACACACACACACACACACACACTACCCACTTGTATGGAGTCTACCTTAGTTACTCCTGGCAACCTTTGTTAACGGGTTTATGAGCTCTAGGCTTCAGGTAACAAGCGACGTGAATTAAATTACACCACGTGGATGGAAATCGATATTGTCTGAATGTGGTCTTTCAGCTGTCATTAAGCTTATTTCAGTTCTATCTACAGTGCATTCCATGTTTAAGATCTTGAATATCTATGATATTTATTGAACCGGTTCTTATTCAGATTTTTGTGAGAGGTATCTTGGTTTGAACATATTTTATTGTAATTTATAAATACAATGGGATTGGGCACAAGTTCTGAAAACTTATTACGCCCTCTCCCTACATGTAAATTACACATTTAAATCGTCACAGTTAAACATGAAGTTTTAAAATATACAATATTTGCAAAAGTTTACAAATCGATGCGGTATCTTAATTCTCACTTGAATTTTTACTTTCATTATCATGTATGCTCGGAAAAGATTCGTACATTGATTTTATAGATAACGATATTTATGAGCGTTTTGAAAAAAAAATTGGTTAATTTCATTATTCAAATTTTTTTATTATAATAAAATATTTTGTATAAGGTATAATTCCAAAATACTGTACTATTTACATCTGCACGACGTGGACCTATGCACGTGTTTCTGACAAAAACCTTAAGAAAAGTTTCTAGGACTATTGAAAATAGGTTTAATTAAATATATCTCATTTATTTTGAAATTTAAAACTTTCATCATGACGTCTTCTTACTAATATAAACTGTAATAACAAATAATGACATGGTCCTAATATTATATGTTAATATTGGTATCTATAACTGTAATGTAGCCTTAAAATTAAGAGGGTTCCATAATAGATATGAACTTTTTTGGAATCTGGACAACTTGTTTCTAGAACCATTCCCCTATTCAATTTTCATCCTCTATAAGCTTGTACAATAGACATTCTACATCTTAACTGGTGGATATAAATATTACTAACATTATGATACTATATGCGTAACTATAGTAGAAATATTTTTATCTACTAATTAAAGTGCATATGCATAAGAGGAAATTTGGAGCTTGCATTTATTATATAGCAAGGCTTCAGGATTGTCGTTATCATTCAGATTAACCCATACCACCCGGTTTATTTTCTGCTTGGACATCTGATCCGCGAAAAAAGAACAAAAATTAAATCTTCACATAGTTCACAGAAAAAATAATACTAATACTACTACTAATAATAATAATAATAAATGCATGGATTTTACAACAACAACGCCTATAAATATTAATCTCTGTTTAAAAGACACAAAAATCACATTTATAAAACAGAATAAAAAAGATGACATCGGTTTGAAATTTAAAAAAATATTCATGC